CTGACTAACCTTTTTACTCGAGATGTCTTAGTCCAATTTTCTAAAGGATGAGAAAAATCTTACTGATTAAGAAAATGGTCTTATGAAGAGTTTCTGTCAGGCCATGGTTAGAATTCTACAAATTTACTGATTTTAGATGAGAATGAGTGTAAAAAAACCAGTCACTTTCATCTAGGTTTGGGACAGGAAGGGAGGCAATATTCAACTTTCGGCTCTGTGTAATGAACCTCTTGGGCAACTGAACCTTTGCCCTGTCCAACAGTGACAACCTGAAGGCTTCTTCAATGGCCATAGGGGGATAAAAAATCAATTCTCATCAAATCAAATATAATTTCAACTTCAATTCTAAAACCTGGTGATGAACTTGGAAAAGCTTTTCCTGCAGTCAGAATAAAACCCCAATGCTTTATACACTGGAAGTTATACATGTATAAGGTCTTAACTAACTAAATTGGTCAGTTTTACAACAGTTTTGCTTCCACCAAGACTCAGAGATTTGCTGGAATATTCAGGTAATTAGAACCAATTAACAGAAAGTGGAATATAAAACTCACTGCTCTTGTATCTCACATGATGAGCTCCCATTCAGAAATTTCAGAACCATCGTGGAGATTTATGGCAAAGGGAGCTATAACACCTGCGACTTCTTTGCAGAAGTTAGAAAAGAAGTAGTTACTTTTCTCTTTTAAGTCTCAATTGTCACTCATCACTAGCACTTTGCGAAATCGTGTCCTAGTGACTGAAAATGCTCACAAGATAAAAAACTTAACACATTCAAGTCATTAAGTAATAAAACAGATATACACTATAATGTGAATGACACTTTAATTTAAGGTGCTCATCAACAATTCCGTTATTGTTAATAACTGTATGAAGAAAATTCAGAATTATTTGTTATTGAGAATTTGCTATTAAATTGTACAGGAAATATTAATATGATGTTTATATATTAATAAATTATGAGTTTAAAGTATGCCTACCTATTTGTAGGTTTCCTCAAGATGCATTTCCTATAGGAAATATGAACCTGTTTCTTTTTCAAACATATTCCTGTGGGCAATTTCAAACAGAATATATCTCTTCTTCTAAACAATATATTTTAGTGCAAGTCCTATTTTGTCCCAATAGAAAAAAAAGTTTTAATCATCTCTTATTAGCTTATAGTCAACAAGACCCATATATGCCCACTGAGAACACCTGTGACAGAGGAAAACAAACCCGAAACATAAAAAAGACCTGGGACAGGAAATTAGATAGCACTGAGAAAATGTGAAGAAAGGGGAGGAGATACTTTGAAAAAAATGCATGAAGTATGTTACCTGCTCTTAGTTCTGGTGTCTGTCACATGAAAAATACAGGTGTATTATTTAGCTTTTAAAATAATATCAATAACATTTAAAAAATAATGCCAAGACAGAATTTGAGAGTATTTTTGCTTTAGAGTTTTAGTTGCAGATTTGCAGAAAAGGAATTCCACAAAAATAATCACATAATTAGATAATAATCTGTATTTTCAGCATAGTCTATGAGTAAATGACTCTGCAAAGGCTTTGATCCAGTATGAAAGTCGTCCTTTTCAATACATAACATTGTAGAAGAGCATTCTTTCTTCTTATGCACTACATTTTTATCTACTACATTGATAGACTATGGGCTTGTCTTCTTGAATTAAAAAGCTTGTGGAAAAAATAGAATTACAGTGTGTGATCTGCTCCTTATAACTTCTGCAATATGTCGTCTGTCGTTAATAAATTTGTGCTTAGCTGCTGTCAGTACTACTCACAAAATCACTTTCTAGAAGATTCTTCTACCTGGCTGAAGATTAACCTGCAACTGCTACAGATGATAGATGACAGGTATCACTAATAAGTAACAAAATCACCCTTCAATTATCACAAACAGATTTTTTTTCTTCTCACACAAAAGAGAAAATAACTTGATTATTGTAAAGGTGAAAGAGTTTTGGTGAACAGTTGGAGGAAGGGAATGAAAGTTAAATCTCCTAGGTTCTGATCCCTCTCTTTTTCTCATTATTTTTGGACAAATTTTGTAGGAATGGGCCAGAAAAGGAAACAGTATTGGCATTGTCATGCATAAAATCCTCTACTGCCTTTAGCTCCGAGTTAAATGCTCCCTACACACAGCGTTTGAGGAAAGTTAGGAGTCTAAAAATGGCTAGCTGGCTGCACAAAAACATAGACCATACATTTTCTTCACTGGCAGTCAGAAAGTAAAAGAAGCTCAGAAGAAAATTGGGGCTCACCTCCCCAAGATGCAGAGCACTGGCATCTTTGCTAGAGGAAGGTGACAGGGGCCCCAGCTTTCTCCAGGTGCTGGATGCCCAAACTGGGTATGCTTTTCCTGCACAAATGGTGCTGGAGCCCAGGGAAGCTGTGTTCTGCTCTCCTCCTGAAATTTCTCTTGAGAAAGGGGAGGCTACGGTTTTCAATTCCAGTGCCACATCA